TATTGGTGTGGTCTATTTTTCATCTTTTTTATTACTAGTCATGACTCTTACTTCTAGAGACAATTCTCATATTTCAGATATTTCAGGAGGTGACGACCAAAATGATGGTGGTGCACCAAACTTTCAAATGCAAGCCATGACACGAGAGATAAGGAGTTTGTTTCAAAAGCATCTTGACCCAATTTCAAAAATCGATCAAACAATCTTAGGGGGAGTGCAAAAAATTATGTAAAGCACATAGTTGTGATCACATCATTCCCTCCCACTTTAAGGTGATTCGTTCTCGAATCTAAAATATCGATAAAAGAATGAACTTCATTGGAAAACAAGAAAGAATCTTTACCATAAGTAGAATAATTCAATTTTGTTCCTTGCCATTGACAAAGATTCATCTTTGAATTGCGAACATCATTGTAGAAATTATCTTAATTATTAAGCAAACAAATAGTCTTTTCTATAGATGGGGATGTCCTTTTGAATTCCTCATAATGGCTCGCCAACTTCTAAAGCATCATGTGTGATGCATACAGTTTTGAATTGATTGGAATTTCAAAAGTCTCATTCAGTGGAAAATGTTATCTTGTTTGTCTCTTTGTCTTCTGTGACCTCCTTTATCGAATCATTCTTGGTGTCAACTCTTTGCGTTCGAATCATCCCACTAAAAATGAATCAATATTAGAAGTAGAGAAATTGATAACAAATGAAATGGGAATATCAAACCATGCAGGATGCTTGATGTCTTTTATGATGAAAAACTACATTGGATCTTCTCTTGAAATATAATCTAGGTATGGTTGATATTTGATTATATCCATGATTGGTGATGAGTTTGGAATGTCCATTGAAGTGTTATCATGATTCTGCAATGATAAACCAAGACTATGAGCAAAAAAAGGCTAGTGTAAGATGAAATTTCATTCTCCTCTTCTTTTCACTCCCAAGTTTTTCAACCACACATTTAATCTTTTTAACTCCAATTTCTTTTTCTTCGCTCTCAATGTCTTTTTCAAGTCTCGTTTCTTCTTCTTTTTTGCAAACACTTTCTTTTTGTAGTTTTTCTTGCAATTGTGTTTCTTTGACAAAATTATCAAAATAACACTTGAAGATGAGCTAGACTTTCTGAAATGAAAGACGCAAAATTCCTTGTCTCACTTTGCGTTGAACTTTTGACACTGATTCTTGTTAGAAAATTAGGGTCCTCCTTGTAATATCTTCTGCTGCAATTGGGTATAAAAATAGAAAAAGATCGATTGCCGTCTTCCTTTTTAGTTGTGTTTTGATATTTGATTGATGCATTTGTGAACAAGAAGGTCTTTCGATCATTCGCTCCAATTTATTTGAGATTGGGTCAAGATGCTTTTGAAACAATCTATTTATCTCTCGTGTCATAACTTGCATTTGCAAGTTTGGTGTACCACCATCATTTTGGTCGTCACCTCCTGAAATATGAGAATTGTCTCCAGAAGTACGAGACATGATTAGAAATAAAAAAAATGAAAAATAGACCTCACCAATACACTCCAAAGAAAAATTTGATGTAACTCCACTCTTGTTTCACTCGGGATGGATTTTCCCCTTGATGTTCATTATTTCCTTTTTACCACTCGTGCTTTATTTTCAAGTCCTTTTAGGAACTTCTTCAATACTTACAAGTGTCTACTAGACTTCGGCTGAAACAATTGTGGCTTGGTAGCAAGGATAGTGAAAATAAATTGGCTACAAGGAAAATAGATGGTAAGTAAAGATAACAAAATTGAATAATGAAATATAAAGATGAAGTAAATATTTTTTTCTTTAAAGATGAAAAGAAATACTCTCTCCCTCTTTAAACTATTTTTCTTTCTTTTTTCAATTTTTTTTATTTTTATTTTTCTCGATTTTTTTACTAACCCGGGAGAGAAAATGATATGATATGCTTGTTGAATCGGCTAGCTCTGATACCAAATGATATAATCTCAATTATGTGTTCCGAGTCATATATGAGTATGTCCGATCATGATTCTAGTAAGAACTTTGCAGTACTTTGATTGAAGACTAAATGCACAAACTACAATATAATAAGGGAAATATATATATAAAGATGTATAAGAAAGTAATGGAAATGATAGAATGAAGTTGAAGTGGATTGTAAATGAAAGAAGTGTGGTGGTGATAGTGGTTGAATGATTGTAACGAAAATGGTGAAGGATGTTTATGGTTGGCATGGAGAATGATAGTAATTCAAATGATGGATTGTGTCATTCTAACTATATATTAGTTAAGAACCAACAGTACAATAAGGTGGAAAGTTAGAAGTGGTAGGATATGAAACGTGACCCACTAGCTATAGATGAGCTAGGAACCAATGCCATAACAAAAAGGAGATGGAGAAAGACTACAAGACTATTTTGAAGCCGGTAAAGTTCTACAAGAGAACAAGAATGAAAGCAACCTCTCAATGATGCTTTACATATTCAAATGTGTGTCTACAAATAATCCCAAAGGTGCCTATTTATAGTATTTCTAAGAAGCATATGAAAAGAATCAAAAGATGAAAACATTATCATCAATTTAGTAATAAAATGCACTTTAATACTTTGTCTTCTTATCTTCAAGGTTGGTTGAATATTCTAGATAATTTTGGGGATGAATATAGACAACGTGAAGTTGAATTTGGCCTTAAGTTTTTCTAAGGGATGGAAGAATCTTGCTATTCCATTCTGAAAATTGTCTTAACAAGTGAATTAAATTACCCTTCATTGCATGTTCCCTTGAAGAATATAACAACCCTTGACTTTAGATGATAACAATCAGATTTGAATTCCTTGAATATGTGAATTAAGAGTCCTTCAATGGCTTGTCACTTGGCTGAAGTTGAAAAGACTCTCCCTTAGCTCAAACTCATCCAAATCATCCATGCATAAAATTACCGTAACAAAATTCCAACCTGCATTGTCTTCAATAAATCGATCATATCTCAAGCTGCCGATATCGGATTGAGGTGATTCAAAAGGCGTTAGAAATCTAATAGATAGAGGAATAATTCCCAATTGATTTCTTCAACCAAACATGTTTGTATTGCATCCAGAATTGGAAGACATTCTGACTGATATTCTTGTATCTGATGAAACTGTTCAACTTCTCTCATGCACCTAGACAAATGTGAACTTTCTTCAATCTTTAATAGAAAACATGCATAAAACAATTAAGAATTAGTTTAATAAATGAACTAGTTTGATGAATTAACTAGTTTAATTTATGGACTAACTTTATTAAATGAACTAGATGCATGAATGAAAGAGCTTACTAAATGATCTAAATGCATAAATAAACTACTTTCCTAAATGAACTAGATGCTTTAAATGCAATGCATGCTTAAATGAACATCACACTTATTAAATGCAATGAATGTTATGCAAACTTTTAAATTCTCATGCAAATTCATGCAAGTAAACAAAAAAATAAAATCCTCCCTTAAACTTGGTTGTTCCTTCTTCACGTCCCAACCTTGAGTATGATGGTGGAGGTTCTTATTTTGGATTGAAAAAGGATTTCAGAAATCTAAACTTGGCTTGAAATTCCCAGATTAAGCTCAAATAATCTTCTTAAAGCTTCTCGAATGTAAATAATTTTCCTCGATCAAACGGTCTCAAGTTGATTGCAGAAAATGATGTAAGGCGCATAGCCGAGATCACATCACTTTTCCACAACAAAGAAAGTTTTGCCTTTTGCACTAGTTTAGAAACTTCAAATGTTGTGGGGCTAATTTCATCATCCTTGGAAGGAATGTCAATGGTAAGAATAGAGCAAATATTGGGGAATGAAAGAGTGAAAAAGTAGTTGATAAAGAATCTAAATGTAGTTAAAAAGTGGTGAAGACTATGCTCATAAAGTCGGAATAGGAAGAGTGAAAGTGTGGTTAACTCGTTTCATGAAGATGTGTAAGGAACCATTGGAAGAGATGGAAAAAAAAATAGTAAGTACAACTTTGATGCAGTTGCTGCAATTAGTTGAAGTGTTAGTCAACGGTAGTCAGACAGGCTCTCCAACGTGACATTTGACAATCCAAGTAAGCATTTAATAGTCTAACTTAGCTTTCTATCGTTGAGGTTAACGGTTGTTAACGTCGAGTAATCATTTTGTTACAAATCAGTAATATTAGTGACTAATTTATAACTTTTGAAAGTTAAGTGGGGAAAATAAAAACTTACTCAAAACTTAGTGGCTATTTGTATAGTTTATCCAAAAAATTGATGTTGGACTACTGGTTTTCTAGATTTAGGGGTAGTTTTTTTTTCTAAAATTGAATATTTTTTAACCTTAAGAAATATTTGTAAATTATAGGATGACTCAAAAATACTTAAAAATATTTTGAAAATGTTTTATGACAGATTCTCATAGTTCCTTAATATACAAATTTAAACAATTAAAACATTTAATAATTTATGTTATATCAAAATCAAATAATGGTTCAACACATTCTTTTATTTCATTTTATCTAATACAATCGTGAAATGTCACTATATTATTAGAAGATTATTAAATTATTTTTAATTATAATTATAATATTCTGACATATGTTAACATCTTATTGTATGATTGTTAAATTATTTTTAATTAAAGTTAGTATTACATTGATATAATATGTAAATATTAAAGATTAAATATTGGTGCGAAATAATTTAGGAATTAGAAATGAAAATCTAATATAAAATAACTTTTTAAAAAAAAAATGAAATCTGGTACTGGTTAGTTGAGTATTCAGTTAAGAGAAATTTCGTGATTCGGACCCAATCCAAAAACCCAAAATAACGAACCGGATACTAAATCTGAAAATTTGGGTAATTACATTATGTACCTAATAATTTTTTATCTGATCGAATAGTTGACAGATCGAATAGTTGAAGTCAGATATTTCTGAACAGCTCTTATCAATATACATGATCTGTTTCATCTGAATTTTCCACGTTTCCCTTTATTTCTTGTAAAACTAAAAGGCGTAGCAGAGGCCAAACTCACCACATCTAATCAAATTCTCCCCCTTGCTCCTCCTTCCACACGCGCAGATATATAATATAAACGAGCACAAAATTTTGATGTTACCGATCAGTTAGAAAAATAAACTTTTGGTGTAGGTCAGGCCATTAGGCCAAGTTTGTGGAATTTGGTGTGTGGTCTAGTCGCCTTCAACCCTTCATTTTTTTGTTGAAGTTTTGTTTTCTGCAACGAAAGTTTAGCAAAAATGTCTTCGGCTGCAATTTCCTTCGTTTCAAGCCCAAACTCACTTAGCCTCACCCATGTCTTCCCAACTAAAACAAACCCAATATTCAGTTGCAGGGTCCATTCATTCAAGACGCAGTCTCTTCGCAGTTTCTTCTCCAGAATCCCAATTGGGTGCTTTAAGCAGTCTTCCTTTTTCACTTCCTCCAACCCCTTTTCTCCCGTCATGAAATGGCAGGATTGCTCGTACTATCTCAGAATCTTCTTCTCTTTCTTTGTTTTCAAAGGCAAAAGGCATGTTTGGACTGAATTCTCTTTTTGTTGATTGTATTAAGGGTAAAAATGGAGATCGATGTCCCCGCCTCTGTGGCTTACAATTTGTACTCTGATCGTGAAGCAATTCCCAATTGGATGCCGTTCGTCTCTTCCGTCAAGGCAAGTATGCATCCTGTTTTACTTATTCTTCAATTCTAAGTATTTTCTGTTAGCAATTTAAATATTTGAGGGTTATTTTTAGTGGGTGGTTGGGTTGAATAGTTGTCATTTGATAATTTTATTCTTCCGTAGGAAATAGCAGCATAAGTGGTTTCTACTTATTCCTTCGGGTGTACGAGATTTGGAAATCTCTGTTAATATTGGGGGAATACATCAATTCAGACGAAATTGCTTCTAGGATAGTAATTTTTACCACGGCACAATAATTCACTTCACTTCCTCCATTATTTGATTATTACTTGTACTAACAATTTTGTTTTGCAGCAATATTATTTTCTAACAATTTCAGCACAAATTTGATGTAATTGTGAGATTTTAGAGTTTGATTCTTTGTGTTTCCTTCTTGTAATTAGGTATTAGAAGACAAGCCTGAATTGTCACGGTGGTTCGTTAAATATGAAGCATTTGGTCGTAGTATTGAATACTCTTGGCTTGCTAAAAATCTGCAGGTAAGGATCAGAATCATATTATTGTCTCTGATTCTTTTGCTTATTCACCAATTCAAGTGGGTTTATATTTTCTTGTGTAGCCCATCCCTAATCAGAAAATTCACTGGACATCTTTGGAAGGTCTCGGTAACAGGTATACAGAATACTTGAAACTAACATTGTTCTGACTCAAATTCCTTGGACTCAATTTGACTCGGTCAAGTGTTCACCACTATTAATGTTGTTTCTGCTTCACCCTCCATTGGTTTCTTATGATGAGAAACTTAGAGCATTTGATTATTTCCATATCAACCTTGTGTTTTTATCATTTGACATGGCAGGGGTTCTGTTCGATTTTATCCGAAAGGTCCCTCATCCTGTTTAATAGACGTGAGGCCACTTAACACTATATTTTCATCTGATGATTTTCTGTTTTCACTGTTATTGTTTCCTTAAAACTCATGAAACTGCATTCTGTCATATTGTTTCCTTAACACTATATTAGTTTATGAGCACATGAAACCTGTGAATTGCTGTTACTTTGAATTGCTCCCACTGGCTGCTTTTTTGTCCTTTTCAGCTGAGTATTTCATATGAAGTTCCTCAACTCCTGATTCCGGTCGCATCGGTAAGTGTTCTTTTTCATCATAAAAATGTTGTCGGGGTGGAAAAAACAAGACAATTTTAAAATTAGTTCCCAACATTTATTAAAATGATCATTTTGATCCCTCTGACGTCTTATTTTAGGGTACAAAAGATCCTCCCGTGGATGGAGACTGTTAGTTAACAAACAGTCTCTAAAATAGTGGTCTTTTTACCCTCAAATGAATCGTTGGGGCTAAAATACTAAAAAACATATTGTTAAAGTAACTATTCAATCAAATGTTAAAGGCCTTTTTTTCCCTAGAATGAAACGTTGGGTCCAAAATAGGACCCAACACTCCGAAAAAAAGGATGAGCCAAAATTTACATTTTGATAAACATCGGAAGGTTTTTTTTTTTTTGGCATTATGCCGAAAAACAAAGCTACTAATGTTTAACTTGATGTATAGCAAAAAATGACAATGCTTCATTTACTTTTTTTTATTGCACATGATTGAGCTAACATGAAGTAATATATCATTTTTCCTCTGATCATATATGTTCAGCTGCTTCAACCTTTCATGGAAAATTTACTCAAACAAGGAATGGATCGGTTTGCAAAATTTGCTAAAAGCTCAAGCTCAACCAGATAATCATCACATTGGTTGGGTTAGTCATACGACCTTGTGTTGATAGTTGTTCTGATTTCAAAATTCACCCATATGCAATCCCAATATCCATTGCGTAAGACAATGAAAGGGTCTTTTCTTGTATAGTTCTTCACTATCCTCCTAAATTGAAAGATATATATATATATATATATATATATATATATATATATATACAAAATATGTGTCAAATAACATATTAGCACGAGCTGGATCGGGGAACAACAACACGTGTGTCATTTTTTTTTAAATGATTAAAGTCTTTTGACATACATTTAATGAGATTGAAGATAATGTCCACATGTGCATTATCATCTGTCCTAGCTCGTGTTTGTGTTAGCAAATATTTTTTCATATGTATTGTATGTGTTTTTTCTTTTCAAAAGAAATTTATTTAATATTTGATCCATTACTTTCTTTTCTCTTTATTTTGGTCCTTGCCTCGTATCTAGTCAATTACAGTTTAGGTGCTACATATGCAAAAACAAGTTTAGTCATTCATATGTTTTCAAGATTTTAGCAAGAGTGACCTTTCAACAAATAATCGGAGATAAGTGATATTTAATTATAAAATACAGTATATTTAGGTAAATTGGTCATTTTTATGGTGTTGGAGAGGCACGCGTATAAATGCTTTTATTTTTCATTTAATAAGGTTAATGTTCTTCATATTTTCTACTTGGTTTATGAAATGTAATATTATTTTTATTAATGAGTTTCTGAATATTATATTATATTATATTATTTGATCCAGTTCATTTAGTTAAAAAGAAGGATTTTTTTTCATAGATTAAATGAAGATTTTATTGATCAGGAGACATAAGAATATTCAGAAACATATTTTACTATTGTCCTCATATATATTGTTTTTATAATTCTATGTTATACAAATCTTAAAGCTTTAGGTTTTTATTTTAGGGTAAACAACAGGTATGACCACTCAATTATTGTCCCCTTTCACCTTGACATCAATGTTTTAATTTTGTCGATCAAACCACCAAACTATTTAAATGCTTCAATCAAGCCATCTACTAGTAATATTTACCTAAATACTCACATGGCAATTAACGAAATTGATATAATTATATAATTAGTCCCCATTGTTTACACATTCTATGAATTTGGTCATAATTAATAATTAATTTAATATATTTAATCCTTCAATTAAGTGACGACAAGTGTCATCGATGACATTCAACATGACATGTGATATAATTAGAGGATTTTTTAATTTAATTTATATTTAATTTAAATAGTTTTATCCCCGATCAAATGATTACATATGTCATGATCTTATGAAAGAAAAATAAATTGAAAAAGGAAACTACCGAGGAGAATCAAACCTAAGTCTCCACGAGGGGTTAGAGGTGCTCCCCACTGCGCCAATAACAATATTTAATTAAAAGTCTTACAAGATATGTTATTTATCTTATATTTTAAGTAATGTAAAAAAATGAAAACAAAAGTAATAATAAAAGGACTTAAATCTAGTCATATTAGGAAATATAGAAGCACCTAAACCACTTAAGTAAATATATTTAGGGTAAACTACTCGGGTGACCACCAAACTATGGTCAAAAATAATTTTGACCACTGATGTTTCAATTTGATCAAAAAGAACACTCAACTTTTTAAATGGTTCAATCAAGCCATTCTCAATTAAAAAAATAATGGCGCGTTTGACGTGTATTTTCAATAAACTTTTTATTACCATGTTGGAAATAAATAGGAGCACGTCATAATGCCACATAAGAAAAAAGTGGTCTCTCTATTATTATTTAAAGTAACACTAATCCCGTTATTTGATTCTCCCCATTGTAAAAACCCTAAAGCGGTTGCTGAAATAGAAGACACAAAGAGTTAAAAGAAGGAAAAGAGAAGACTAGAGCGACGAAACATGGATGCAGAAAATGAGCATCAGTTGTGCTTCTGTGGAGTTCGTTCGACGGTAACAACGAGCTGGATCGATGAAAATCCTAGTAGGAGGTGTTTGGGGTTGTGAAAATTATAGAAAGGGGTTAAGGTTTGCAAATTTTTTACTGATATGATTCAACAGTAAATTATTGGTAAAAACTATTATTGTTGGTCTTCTAAGATGGATTGGAGCAATAGAGCAGGAACAAAGGAATCATAAACGTCGTTGGATTTTTACTTCTCTTGTTTTCTTCTTTGTGGGAGTGATTCTGGGAATTATAATCAATTAACTGATTTTTCTTCTTTTATTGTTTGCTTTGGGGAGTTATTTAGGGTAATATTATGCTATGTGTTAATAACATTTATGGGTTATAGATTTGCCTTAGAATATTACGAAATGCTTTAAGTATGTAACTTGTGTTGTCAATGTTATACTTAAATTATTAATGAAATGGAATGTTAAATTTGTGAGTTAATTTTGTCTTAACGAAATGCTTTAAGGAAAGAAAAAAGACAAAATATCTTTGCATTCATTTACAGACCAATATATGACATATATGACATGTTTAGTCAATAAACATAAGTAGAATAATACATTTCCAGATCAATTCTTTGAGCATATAAAAGCTCTTTTCATCTATCAACACAAAAGCTAACAGTAGCAACTGATCAAAATACTATGGTTAAATGTATATAGTCAAATTAAATACTAAAAAATCATCAAACAAAAGGTCTATGCTTGTGGAGAGGATTGGTTGGCAGAAGTATCACTCTTATGCCTATTTGGAAATGACTGACTAGCAGAAGTATCCCGACTCATGTGGACAATGTAGGTGGGCATCCATCTCATAGTATACCCTTATGAAGGTGGCTGTGGATTTAGATAAAAGCTTTGATTTTGCATGTCAGCTTGATTTGGTGTTGGAGCTTATTAACGAAAAGAGGACTGAATGACACAATTATCTTGACTCATATGGACTGTAACACCCTTAACCCATATATGTAATTAAATACGAGCTGGAGATGTCACAATGACTTTTCATAACATTCATACTTGAAAACCCGTAAAATTTTGTTTCATTTTAAAATTTTCAAGCCATCGTTTAAAACCCATTTAATCATTCACATAAAACCTAAAAAAATATTTTATCGTCAAATTTTAATATGATTTTAGGCAATTCGATGTTGCTTTCAACATATATGAAACTGCCATAATACTGGTTGATTAAAATAATCAACCAATACTTTTAAAGCAATTCTATCAGAGCAACCAGAACATTTATAGCATACATGCTATTAAAAAGTTAAAGATGTCTTACTAATATTGTAGGTCGGTATGATTTCCCAGAAAAGATCCTCTCAGTGCTTCTAACTTCATGTCCCTTTCTTTATCTGAACCTACGCATGAAAATCATCACGCGCTAAGTAATTCTTAGTTAGACAGTAACGTAAATAAGGTGAGATAAAACATAAAATACCATAAATATTTGAAACATTAAAAATATAATTCAAATAAAATCATTGAACTTTTTAAGCCATGTTTCCTCTTCAGAAACCTGAAAATCATCATCTCATGATTTTATCAAAACCATGATAATCAATAACAAACATAACAATCATTTCATATTCTTTCTCATTCAGAAACATCTCAGAACTTTCATATTTCATTCTTTATTTTCTTTTCCTTTTATATACTTTCAAAACTTCCACATTCATTTTTCATATTTTACTTTCATAGCCTAATGTGTATGTAAGAGAATGCATGTAATGCTCCAAATATTGAATTAAGGAATTTATTGAAAAGATTTAAAAATGGAGGATTTAAGTGATTAAATGATAAAAGATGGGTAAAGGATTGGAATAGTGTTTTAGACTAGATTGTAACTATAGAAGAATAGAGAGGGCATTTTAGTCCTTTATAGGGGAAATAAATTTAATAATTATTTTATTAAGGTATTTAAAATGAAAAAAGGGAAAAATGAGATACAAGTTATATCTCTATTTTCTGCTTCTTCTTGTCGTGGAAAAAGCTTCCCCCATAGCTCAAAGGTAAGATTTCAAATGGCTAGTTTATTCTTTCGTTTTTTTGTTGGTTATTAAAGCTTTGAATATGTTAGATGCTTAAGAAAGGATTTAATGGGATTAAAACTAAGATATGGAAGAGATATTAGAGATTGAAGAAAATGGGGTTTTGAGTGATATGTTAAAATAGGAGTGTTTATGGATGTTTACTGGTAGATTTGACTTACCAAAGAGGTAAATAAGAGATTAGCAGCATTGGATTGGATTAATAACACATTAGGAAAAGTGGTGTGGTTCTTAGAGTTGATTGTTTTTGGAAGATATTAAATATTTTAAGAGGCTAAATGAAATAATGTTAGTATGAATAGTTATAGAAGAGTTTAATAGCATTTTATGGTGTTTGTGTATCGAAATTTTGCCCCATTTGGGTGAAAATCGGGTTGAAAACTGGAAATTCTGGGTACGGGTATCAGTACTGATAGAACATTACCAATACTACAAGCTAAAATAGAATGAATTTACTAAATAGTATCGATATTGATTCAATCAGTATCGATATCGAATGGGGAGTATCGATACCGAATGGGGAGTATCGATACTGAATGGGGAGTATCGATACCGAAGGAAAGGTATCGATACCATTTTGAAACCATTTAGAAACATAATGCAATAACGGTATCGATACCATAGGAGGGTTTCAGTACCATAATATGGTAGTATCGATACCATGGTAAGGGTATCAATACCAGGTAAAATTGAATCTAAAATTGGTATCGATGCCATATGAGGGTATCGGTACCATAGTATAGTAGTATCGATACCATGGTAATGGTATCGATACTATGGAGCCAGAAATATTAAACGTAGGTTGATATTGTTATAGGAAGTTAATGATATATCCTTCTGAGTATTGTTTGAGTATAATGATTAGAAAATATACTAACCTTGGGTATGGTACATGTTTTAATGGATGGTTGAGTAGATCGAAACCAAGCTCCCGAAACAAGCAAAACTAAGGGCAAAGGCAAAGTATAGGAGTAATCAGCCTTGCGTTATGGGATTCATAGTGAAAACGCCAGGTGAGTGCATTTAATTTTGTAACTATAAAATGTACAAATCATATATGTATAACTTTTAAAGATGTATATGGTGATTACCAAATAGGCACT